AAAAGAGGAGAGTTGTATATACTGTTGAGATGAGAATCTCAGTTCGCCCGTCTCTGGGTCACCGTCCTTGTTGGAGTTGTGCTGTGCCATTTCTTCCAAATCAGTCACCTTTTTTCTTTTTTTCAGTACTTTCGGTCGTCCTTTTGTTGAACACTGTACCGCTCCTTCAGTCAGGTCACCCGGTAGGTACCCTTGTAGTCTTCATGATTGTGTCTGGTGCCATTTCTTCCATCTCAGCCTGTTGTCACTTATCGTTGCCACCTTGCCCTTCAGCAGCCAGTTCCTTATGAACGTACGTTTCTTGGTTGCTTGTCCTTCTGGCCTGTGCCTCGTAGAGTTCAGTATGCTCCGCCGTCTGCTCCTGATTTCTGTCTCTGCCATGCTCAGCATTAGTGACCACATTTCTTCCCTTGCCACCGCTGTTCCCTCGATTGTCTGAGTGCACCTGCGTTTCCATATCACCCATAGCGCCAGCTTCCTGAGCAGGGTGAACCATACTTCCCTGCTGCTTGTGATGTTGCTGGGGATGTTAGTTAGGAGTAGGATAGTGATGGGGGGGACGTTAGGGGGTGGCGAGGCGAGCAGGATCGACCATAGTTCACGGACCTTCTCCCATAGCCAGGTTGCTTCTGGGAAGAAGAGGAGGCAGTGGGGGATGTCTTCGGGTAAGTTGTTGTTGCACATTACGCAGCGTTCTGAGCTGTCCGGATCAGAATGCTTCCTTCTCACGTGTAACCACTGGTTGACGAAGGGCTGCATGTGCTATTAGCCATTGCAAGCTACGGGTTCTGATAGGTCTGATGGGTAGGTATTTGGGCCAGGGGATGGTGACGGGGACCGTGTCGTCTAAGTTCAGTATGTTTCTCCATTTCTCTGTCAGCCTTGGATTTGGGTCTATGGTTTGTAGTCCAAGGTTATATCCGAACTTCACGTCATATTCTGTTATCGTCCTCGATTTCCCTGTGGCGCCCAGTTCCCATGTCCATTCCTTTGGGTCGAACTCCAGCTCCTCGATGCTGAGTTCCGGCTGAAAGATGGTCCAGGGTTCCCTATGAGAGACTCTAACCTTCCTGAGAAGGAAGGTTTCTATTCGTTCGTTCAGAGGTGTTCTGTTCAGGACCTCTACTTCGTAAATGCTGTGTTTGATGATGGGATAGGAGAAGAACTTGGCCTGGTAGTTAGTAGGGTCCGGTTTGGACACAAAGCGGTAGGCTCTTGTTGGTGGGGTCTGTGTGATGAGCAGTCCCCAATCTCCTGGTTTCCACGTGTGTAATTCTTTGAGGAGGGTCATCCATGGGGGGGGAATGCTTCTAAGGATTTCTGATAGATTGGTGGTCAGTCGGTGGCATCCTTTTAAGGATGTGCGGAGGTCCTGCACGGTTAGCCAGTCTTGTCGATCCTCAGACCACATATGTTTGATCTGCCATACCTCTCTCCACCCAAGACAACCATCTACGGTCTTTGGACTGAAGAGTCCATGGTCTGCCCTCCGAGTCTTTAATCCAGGGGTTACAAAACAGGGGTTGTCTAAGGACTTCCTCTTTGTTGCTCGGGGACCCTTTCTTATCTGACATCAGTCGGCGCCAGGCCTTCAGGATCGATGTCCAGTATGGGATGGGCGTAGTGATGGGCTGGTTGGGGGTCCCGGGAATGGTATTCCTAGCACCTCTTCCCGATTTGATTGTCCATTCCTTTGCCATGATCTAGAAAGGCCCCTCATGTTCGGAGGGGATGCTACCGCTGCCACGTTTCTTATGCTGTCTAAAGCCATTTTGGTCCAAGGGGGTCTTGTTTGGTTAGGATTTTGATTATCCATTTCATTTGGAGGGCGATCGCTTCCTGTTTGGGGTCGATAATACCTAGCCCACCTTCGTGTGGTTTTCTGATGACAATTTTCCAGGACACCTTGTTTATGCATGTGGTTTTTCTGGGGTCGCCGGTCCACAGGTAACACCTGGCTCTAGCCTTCAACTTCTTCAGGTCGTCGTCAGGAGGGGACCAAATGGAGGTCATGTACCACCTAGTGGAGAAAACTGTTGCGTTGATGATCAGGGCTCGCCCTATCAGAGAGGCCTGGGCTTTGTTGCAGGTGGCTAGATGGGTTATTGTTTTGGTTATTAGAGTGTCCCCCATGCCTCGCCAGATGCCGTCCCTGTTTATCATAATGCCTAGGTATCAGAGAGCTTGGTCGCCTGTGGTCTATGACATTGGGGTGGATGGGTCTGGATGTTGGGGGGGGGGGCTATCTGCAAGCCACCAACCTTCCGTCTTGGACCAGTTTATCTTCATTTATGAGGCGAGTCTGAAGGCTTCCATTGCGCGGCCCAAGGCTTGGAAGGAGGAGTTGCTTGCGCGGATGAGGACCGTGAGATCATCTGCGAACATCTGAGCGGTGGGGAGAACGAAATCGTGGAGGGGGTTGTGGTTTTGTTCGGCCAGGCGGTCTATGGAGAGGTCCTTGCGGACGAAGGAGGCAATGGCTTCCATTATGAAAAGGAATATTGGGGGTGCGAGGGGGTCGCCTTGGCGGACCGACCTCGATATCGGATAGGTTTCTGACAGGATTCTGTTTATCTGAACCCTGCTCGTGGCATCCCCATAGAGTACTTTTACCCACTCTCTGAAGTTTGGACCAACTCCCATCTTCTCCATGCAACTGTGCATGAAGTCCCAATTGACTTGATCGTAGGCCTTTTTGAAATCGAAGAATAGGATTGCTGCTCGCATCCGTTTCTCTGTGATCTTCTTTGCGGCCTCATTTAGTGTCGTCACATTGTCCAAAATATATCGACCCGGGATGAATCCTGCTTGATCGATAAGAAAACATTTATCTGTTAGTTTTATGATTCTGTTTGCGAATGCCTTTGCTAGGATTTTGTATGGCGTTGTGAGAAGTGAGATTGGTCTGTAGTTCTTGAGTTCCTCCTTGTCGCCCTTCTTATATAACAGTGAGACTACGCTGGTGCTTAGGAATTGCCCCAGACCCATTTTTTTTGTGCTGTCGTTAATGAAATTAAGGAGGTCAACTCCAAGTGTGGGCCAAAATTGGATCCATAATTCTTTGGACAGGCCATCGATTCCTTGAGCTTTGTCATTTCCCATCTGGGACAGGGCTGTGTGCAGTACCCCTAGGGAGATTGGTTTGTCCAGGTCCTCCGTCTGTTGCTGAGTGACTGTTCTCTCTAGGTAGGTCATCATGCGCTGACGGGCGTTGATGTTAGCTGGTTGAGGGGGGGAGGTGGTTTTGGATTCATAAAGGTCTGCGTAGAAGGATCTGGCTATTCTTACCATGTCTGTACTGGCTGCCTTTGTTTTCCCTTGGTCTGCTGGGTTCTTCAGTCTTTCGATCGTGTTATTCCTGTCGTTAGCTTTAATTCTGGAGAAGAAGAATTTGGACATAGACTCGTTTAGGGAGTAGTCTTGCATTCGCGCCCGAATTTGTAAGCCCCTGAGTTCCCATCTTCTCCATTCGTTCAATTCGTCCTTGGTGGCTTGGAGTAGGTTGTGATAGAAGGAGTTGGAAGGATCTGATGCGAGGTTGGTCTCCGCGATGTCGAGGGCAATCTGCAATTCTTCCTTCCTGACTTTGCGTTCTGCTACTATGCTTCTAGACTCTGATGAGACTATCTGGGATAGGTCCATATAACTGCCTATGAACCATTTGTGCCTATTTTGTCGTTTCATCTCGTCTTGTTGTAAGAAAGCCCAGTTCCATCTGACTGCCTCTATCATGCGATCTGTGGAGAGGAGAGAGTTGTTGATTCTGAAAAAAACTTGCCCTTTTTCTACCGGAGAGTTGAGGTTGAGGAGTAGGTAGGTCGGTTTGTGATCAAGCCCCTTGAAGGCTGCTGCTGGTAGGATATCGGCCTCCTTGACTGCTCCCTGTAGCATGTCGGAGATTAGGAAGAAGTTGATCCGTGACAATGATGTATGGTTGGATCGGTTCCTTTTGACTAGGGAGAAGGCCTTTTTACGTGGGCGGAGAATTCGAAAGGGGTCTACCAGATTGAACTCCGTCATGATGTTTCGCAGGTGTGTGCTCGCTCGTGTGGGTCCCAGTAACGTTGCCCGGGAGATGCGATCCAGGCTGGGATCCATCGTGGTGTTCCAGTCGCCTGCAATGATTAGCGGTAGGGGTTCGGGAGACGTGATTTGATGTGGTCAAAGAAAGCTATGCATTCGGTTTCCGTGTTGGGGGCATATATGTTTAGGATCCTGATCTCTTCCTCTTGCCATGTGATTTGAACCCATGACCACCTTCCCTCTGCTGTGTCTCCTTCACCGTAGCTTACCTGTCCTTCCGTCCATAATTTGGATGAAGTTGGTATAAGGATCGTTGTTCCGCGGTTGCTTTGGTCCGCTCTGTTGGCCCACAGTGTGAAAGGGCATCCGCCTAGGCTTTTTTCCACGGTCTTCTTGATACTGGTGTGGTTGGTGAGGTTTGATAGATGGGTTTCTTGAAGGAATGACATTGGGCTTGGGCTTTCTTTTTTCTGTGAGGCCTAGCCTGATGTCTCGTAGCTTGTCTTCTTCCTCGATAATGTTGCCCAAGCCGTTGACATTCCAACTATGGATCGTCAATCCTTTGGCTTGCCAGTCTACTCTCACTGGCTCAAGCTTATCCTCGTTGTAGTCCATTTGGATTCGTCTGGCGGGGAGCTGTGTTCGGATTGCTTTTTTTTTTTTTTTTCCGGTTGGGGTGGGCGTTTGTTGGGTGAGGTTGCTAGTTGGAAGTACGATCTATTCAGTCCGCATCAGCAGAGGTTTTGGGGCTGTCCAGTCCAGAGTCCTTGCTGCTAGCACTGCCCTCGCTGACCTTTTTCCCTGGCATGGAACTTAGGCTGTAAGCCCCAACGCTGCCTTCGGGCAGCGCCGTGGCTCCAGTCTTTGTTCCTTCCGGGGAAGTCCCGTCAGCAACTCCATAGTCTTCGTCGTCGGTCATACTTCCCTCGTCGTCGTCGGGTTCCACGTGGAGCGCTCTGGCTTCGTCTTGCAAGGAGTGCTCTGTGGTGAGAATGTGGGATCTGATAATGGAGGCCAAGGAGACCGCCATGACCTCTGTCGGACACCTCTTTCCTGCAAGAGTGTTGTACGGCAGCGCTGTCACCGTGTCCCATGCTCTCCATATCAGTCCATCGTGTAATCTGGCTTTCTCATCCAGTTTTACTATGATTGGCTCGAAGGACTTGGCTGTGTCGGGGGCCTGGCCTGTTTCGTCTTCCTAACCTGCCTGACCCGCTGGGACTTCATACACGCCCGCAAGGAATTCCTCTGAGATCCCTTCCTTGATTGTTCTGGCTAGAGACCGCTGGTCTCCCAGCGTCGGGATCGTGAACGAGACATCGGTAGCTACCTGCCACTCGCCGAACTTCCTTCTGTACCGGACGGAGACCAGCGGTCTGACGACTTTGATTGTTTTGCGGTCCGATGCTGCTTTCTCAGTGACATGCGGGGCCCTGTTCTCCGCGACGTTTCGGATTGTGCAGTACTCTTTGCTGTGTGTCTGGCGGTACTCCTCGTTCTGATCGAACAGACACTTTGTCTGAGCAGCGACAATGGCAATCTCCCGTTTGATGGATCGCTGCTCACTGCCTTTTTCCGATGTGTCAGCTTGAGGTTTCCTGGGCCTCTTGTCTCTGCCCTTCGAGGGCTTCCATTTTTTTGGGACCATGTCTCTGATTGGGTCCTTGTGGGATTGTGTGTCATCGCTGGATTCCATTTCAGAACCCGAGGCTTCTCTTTCCCTCTTCTTCTCGTGGTAGCGGAAGGCACTGAACTTCGATAATTCGCTCTGTTGTCTCAGGATGTCGTATTGGTTCTTCGAAGTGTGGATCCCTGCTATCGAAGTCTTGTTGGTTTTCGCCTGTCTTCTTTTGGTGTTTCATGCATGCCACGCGGACGTCGAATTCTTTTTCTCTCTCGTTTTTTGCTCTTTCGAGATATTCCTGCAGCCACGAGATAGGAGAGTCTCCCTTTCCTTTTGAGTTCTCCGCCTTCTCTTTTTTGGTTGGAGATATATCCATTCCCTGCTGGGTTGCATCCTGGTCTGAGTGGTCCGGTCCCGTTAAGGAGGCCTGTGGGTTCTGGTTCTCAGGAGGTTCGCTACCCTCAGCAGGCGTAATGCCCTTCCTTTTTTTATTCCCACTTGGTCTGTCGTCGTTGGTCTTTTGGAGTGAGGCCTGTCTCTTGAGGGAGGGATCGCCCTGCGGGGTTCGTCCCTCAATGATATGTTTGGTTGTGTCCAGGATGTTGTCATAGTCCTCTGGATTGGAGAGAGAGGTTGCTGTTTGTTGTCTGATCGACTCCAGGTCCCACATCAAGTCCTCATTCTTCCTTGATCACCCGAGAGTCGATCACCGGGTCCGAGTGTATTTTCCCTGGGATTCCGGTAATCTTCTTTGCCCCCACGTGGTGCCATTTGCTGTCGGAAAGAGGGAAGATGTCTGGCTGTTTGACCGGAGGGGTGGTGTTAGCATAGGTCCAGATCCATTTGGGATCTGGGATGTTGTCGTTGAAGACCCAGCCGTCGTAGTCTGAGTCGTTGACGAACCAGATTCCTTTGGCTTCTTCCACCTCTACTAACATGTTCTGCCTTATTTTTTTCTGTTCGGTGGATTGCGGGCATTTGGGATCCGTTCCCAGATGACCCCTGGCTTTACATCTAAAACAGATTGGGGATGCTTTGGTTGAAACTGTTACTGTCGTGACTTTGTCCCCAATGAGACATTGCCACTCTTCTGGAAAGATCGGAGGGTCATCGGTGAGTACCTCCAAGATAGCTGTGACTGAGTCGCAGTGGGGGGCCGGGAAGTCGGGCGTGGGAAGGACCCACTTTACTACCTTGTTGGCGGGATATTCCACTTCTAGGCTGTCTTTGATGAGGGGGTGTCCTCTGGCAGGGATGTTGTCGAATTGTACCCAGAACTGTTCCCTCATCAATCTCTGTTTGTATGAAGCAGCTGGCGAAATTTCGGCTCGCTGCGCTGTTTCGGATCTCCAGCGTGACAGGGTGCAGACAGATCCATTGCAATTCAATGTTTCACATTTTTCCAGCAGATGAGTGGCTTGGGTGGCGTCCTTAAACACCACCATCATCATGGTTCTGCCCAGGCCTAGCAGGGAGAACTTGTCGGCATCAGTTTTTATGTTCTCCTGTTTGCTCCGGCGTTGGAGAAGGAAAAGATGAGCGCGTGCTTCTCGTAGGTCGCGTTCGTATCGGCTATCTTGTCTTTCGGGTAGGCCCACACTATCACTTCTTCATCCGTATTGTCCTTGATGTTTCTGACTTTGATGGTGACTCTCTCTCCTCTAATTTGTAGGGCTTCCAAGAGGAAGTGCAGCGTCTCATGGTCCACATTGGAAGCAGTCTGGGAAGTGGGCTTGGAGGTGGCTGTTTTAGCTGCAGTTACCAATCGGCGCTGGTAGGTCTGAGCCACGTTTTCAAATGCACGGTTCGACCTGTGTGAATTGGTTATACTTTCCTGGTTTCGGGTTGAATGATCTTCGCTGGACTCTGTGCCCCGTTTTGGTGCTGGTTGGGAGGGATTGGCCAGTGTTTAGTTCGTCTTCGAAAGTTTTTTTTTTTTTTTTTTTTTTTTTTTTTTTTTTTTCTTTTTTTTTTTTTATTGCTCTGATCGATTACGTGACGGCGTGTGTGCTTGGTGAATCGATGTTGGACCGGCGGGAAGGGAGGGGACGGTCGAGCTGGTGCAGGTAGGGGGGGAGAGCGGGGAGGGGGAGGTTGGTTCAGCAGTTTTTTTTTTTTTTCCACTTATTTGAAGTTATTTCTTTGGCTTCTGGCAATGGGTTGTGAATGGAGGTGGGGGGAGTGAGATTGTGCTATGCTCCCCTTACTACGGGGTGTGTTTGCTTTGTGGAGGGGGATATTGACGTGGGGGTTTTATTTTTCTTTTTGCTCGTGTTTTCCTTTTTTCTTTTCTCTGTTCGTTTTTTCCTGTTTTCCTTTCTCTTTGTCACGTTCTATTCGGGCAGATCACGGGACCGTGCGGAGGATGGGGGACGGGCGGATCTGTGGGGAGCCGCTACTGGCAGTGCGATCGATTCCGTGCAGGGTGATGGCGAGGTGGTTTGTGACGGGTGCTGCAGGTAACGTCGGGTAGGATTAGGGGATTAAAAAAGG